CAACACCGAGAATGCACTGTTTTCACGCTAATTCAATTAGTGAGTTTGGCGTTAACAAGCAGTGACCACATAACTGCCAGTTTTTCGAAGTTGGTGCGATGTCCGTAGATATTTGCGTTGTTAAGGGCTCACAACAGAAGCATTCAGGGTGCACCAGTGGGCAAATCCCTTGTCCAACCCAGGCTCCCGTCCAGGACAAAGGCACGGGCTCGTGGGGAGAGCTTTTGCTACCAAACAATGGATCCAAATATTCCCTAATCCGATGACATCGGATAATACCTTAAGCACACCGCGTCAGCTGTGTTATTTTCGTCTGATTACGAAAGTGTCTCGACTTAGATGTCGTTGTGTACATGCATTCATCGTCGTGCATTACAAATGAGTTTGTTGACCAACACAGTTTGGTGGACTGGTAGAAGCACAAATGAATAAGTGGCCAAATCCCTCTTCACCACTCAATCTCAAAGTGTAAGCCATTACTTTTACAACAGGCACGGAAGATCTAAAACTACACGTAGCAGAATGGCTAGATGCCTGACGTGGAGGCAGTGAACGGAGGGGGCGTGGTGTGTCGGTGACTGGGGCGAGAGAGTGGAAGGACTCGAATTAACACGATTTCCAACACCCTGCTGGATTGACTTGATGATAAACATCGTCGTGCGTGACAAATTACTTTTGGAAATCGAGGTAGCCAAGTGGTGAGGGGGCAGGTAGGGGGTCCTGTGTGACTGTGGCTCCATTCACCACAAACCGGACCACCAGTATGAATTACTATCCGACCTTACAGCAACTGTTCAAAGCATAAACCATTATTTGCAAGGCAGACACGGCATCGCTTAATGGTGTCACACGTTCGTTGCATTTGAATGCAATTTTTAAGCCATAATCAGGGTTCGTTCGTATGACCTTGACTCCGACTGATCGACCATTGATTGGTCGGTCTAGAGGCGGTGTGACCAACTGAAGTATAATGAGTGGGGCGATTGCATAGACATGCAAATAAGCGTGCCTATTTGTTACTAACTTTTAATTCCTGTACCAAAAAAAAACAGAATTTTAAGATTTTTGATTGGGAAACATTTTAGGCACACCTTTTCTCTTTATAGATTAAAGTTAACATATTCTAATTTCTAAAAAAATGTGCAATTTTAGCAGACCTTAACGGAGTGACAGAAACAAACGGCAGTTTTGCATCACTGAGAGGCTCCTAATTCGACTTGATGCTACTCTGGAGGGCCCCGACGTGGTTCAAGACAACACGCCGGGGCCACTGCGACAATCTAGGCCGACTACGTTACCCTGTGTTCCCGGGAAAATAAAGAAGACCGGAGTGGAGAAGGCATAACCGTTTACTAGACAGCTCAACCAAGTTGTGTCGTGTACACTTACGGTTCAGTGGACATGTACAAAAATAAACACAGGTGTCTGTGAGGTCACATGACTAAAACGGGTGGATGTGGTGGGACATGCAGGGGGGTTAATGAACCAGCGGCCTCACGTGACTGGCGGGCAGGTCGTGAAAAGGGGGTGGACATGTGGGTGAGGCTGCGACGGCCGTGGTGTTTAACGTGAATCAACACGATTCACTACACTACAAAAACCGTACGCGGAGGGTTGTAGACAGCGAATTTTCGACGCAGTGTTCACTTATCTTTTCCCCGAGAAACAAGGCCGAAATCGTCATTGGCAGTGAACTGTAACGGGAAACACCGGCGTCTCCAACATCCTGACATGACCGCCGAGTTCTGCTTGAGCCGCGTTGGTGAAAAATACCAGAAGGAGCTCAACAACCAGTAAAATTTTCAGCACTTTGTAGGAAATAATGGACCTTGTTCTAATGATTGTTGGTCAATGTAAATCTCCCTATAAAAAAACATGACAATGATTTGGTTTCAGGACAAGGACGAGCTTGAGTAATTACCCAGTAAACCAGAATGCAATGAGGCAATTTACTTTACATTGTGTGATTAATTTACGTCTGATGAATTCAGACTCCTTATTGGTGTAGCAAATCTAACCAGTGCCAAGTAAACACCTTACTCTGCAGTTAATTGGACAGTCAACGACAGCAATTGTAGGCAGTTCGATAAGCGGTTCCACTTCAACACGTCTTCCATTCCCCAGGGGTGTCTGCATGTCGAAAAAGGTTTTATCCGTAACCAGAACCACACACACACACACACACATCACAGTCCAGGGCATGACAGGACATCGTATCGAGAACTTTTACTTTGAATTACCAGTCGTGAGTAAGCCTGACGTGAGGGATCACGGCTGTCAGTTGGTTGTTGTGGGCCCCCTTAAGGGGGGTAAACATCGGAGCTGTTAGGGTTTAAGTGTCATGGGAAATATCAGCCTTGCCAACATCCTGACACGGCTGCTGGGCTCTGTTTGCAGCGCATTGGTAAAAAATACCACACTACTTACTCCAAGTTCTCAAATTATGCTTCACATAGACGTTGATGCTGACCGATTTCAGCTCCTGCACATGCACCACCTACAAATCCTGGTTTGTTGTTGACCAGTTCAAAACTCCAGGCATTCGACATCTCACCACACGGGCAGCTTGTCGTGGTGTTGGCAAAATAAACATCGCAGCGTTTTGTCTCAGACTGAGTAAATTTTGAGGCCTGTGTGGTTGACTCTACGTCTGCAACTGTAAACCACCTGACTGGTCAATAGATGACGCCCATTGTCGAACTGCAATCCCAACCGCAAAAAGCGAGCGTAAGCGATGTTTAACGACCAGGTTTAGAAGACACTTCAGTAAAACTTAAGTTCAGAATCAATAAAGCGTGCTAATAATGTGGTCAATTTGTTTTGCCTTTCGTGAGTGCATCTGTGGAATCGTTCAGTAGCTCTGTCGAATGGCTCTCAGTTTCCTAGAATCAGCGTCCAAATTGAAGGCACCAGTGAGTGGACACAAATCGCTTTGTTCAGATTGTTCTCATTTGAAGGAATTGTGGCAGGCTGAAACCATGTGCCAATGTGAGACGTGCATTCAGCCAGATGTGCATCTCCCCATTCAGCACTGACGTGAGCTACTGGTCTGTTAAGCACGAAGACTTTCGTCAAATTCGTGAGCTACTTTTAAGTGCCTTAGAGAGCGTTGCTGGCACTTCGAGCCCATGTTTATAGCTGTGGCATTTGCTTAGCGTACATTTCATTTAGCAGCATGTGGATTTACTAAACACGGGTAACTTGTCTTCTATATTTTTGACTCAGCAATGCTTTGGGCAAACTCGCCTTGTAAGTTGAAGTAGAGATCGTGAGATTATAAGCAGAGTGCTGCTACGTGGTGGAAGCTTGAAGTGGCAATTCTGCGTTGTTGGCAGGCTCAAACTTCGATTAGATACTACGGAATCGTCCTCGGATTGTTATGTTGGGTTCGCCTCTGAGCACAGGACTCCCATGCCCGATTTAGTGGCATTTATATTACTGTTTTCCCAAAGAAGGAATCAAACGAAAAGTAAAAACAAAACGCAGACTGGAAAAAAAGGAGGACGTTGGTACACAACAATTATATTTCTTAAATAACAGACCGTAAATGGATGTGTTTTAATGCCAGGAATCTAGACGGAGGCTACTGCCAAAATGCACAGAAGAACCGGATTTGTGCTAGCTAAACCCCGGTGCAGATTACACCAAGTGTGTGCGTGTGTGTTGACACGCTTTGAGCACATGTAAAATCTCAGTGTGAAATTGTACTTCTCACAGTTCCTGCTTCCGTTCTGCCAGAAAACACGGTAAACCTGTCAGTGAGATAAAAGTCTTGATGCCGCCTCAAGGCGAGCAAAACATTGCAGATATCAAGGGTTACCACATGCCTGGTTGCCTTCTGAAAAGTAAGCCCGGTTTTCGACAAATTCGGCTCACATATCATTGACTTCTGCTTGCGATTTCATGCAAGCCAATCGGGAGCCTCGGATCGTGTTTACTCCGCACACACCTGTCATCCTGCACTCTGACCGTAATTCTTGTGTATGTGTGGTAGCAGGTTTAGGAGTCTTACTGAAGGTTATAATTGTTACTGACAGGCATTACCTCTGCTTGATGACATTAACCTGTACTCCTTGCCAAAACCGCTGACAATTAGCGCGCTTGTGCCGGATAAACCAGACTTAAATGGCAGCAAAATTTAGCAATTTTTTTTAACCCTCTGTCATGAGCAGACAGTGCATGCCTGTTAAGCATTTCGTCACACAAAATACGTGTGTATTCAAGGACCAAATGCTTTCCTTAGCTTCAAATGGGGTTTTTGGCTAAGTCCCCACAATGCTAAAATGCTTTCTGATAGCATCCAAACCAGGGAGCCATCTTGTGGCCATTGATTACTTTCTGGTCATCGCTGCTTACTTCATTAGACCCTTTCTGGTACTAAAAAAACCGCGTGAAAAAATTTGACCATTTACTTAAAAAAATTCAACAATTTTTACCTATATTGTGAAATTTCCTAACCAGTTGTAGTCTGTTCAACAAATTAGCTCGCAATAAATGAAGTTTTCAGTCGGTCGTCGAGGAACATCAACATGAATCAGTTTCAAGGACTACCAAGGTCGTTTGAACTTCAGGCGGCTTTCGATTGGTAGACAAACAAGGAGTTGCCTACTTTGAGTCGTCACTGATCGTGATCTCAGTTGAGCAAAAAGGGCTGCAGCATAGGGCCTAGCACAGATGGTTCTTCATTGTGAATTTTAACTGTATACTGAACTATGAGCGCCTAGTTTACCCGAAAATCCCAAGCAAAACTGGTAGTTTAAAAGTACCCGTTTCGTCGACGGGTAGGTCGTGACAGTTAGCCTCATCTTTAATTTAATAATTGAAGAGAGCTAACGTCTCTGGCAGATGGAGTAAACGTGATTAGATTCTCCACGTAGACTTTAATCTTAATTCTCCCCACATTGAGTAGTGAGAGCGTTGGTTGCAAGACAAACACTAGGCCTTGTGGTTCACACTGACCTTGATAGGTGGAAAACAATTGCCCCGATTTGAGCTGCCTAATGCAATTAGAGGCACACACTGCTATAAAAGCGGATGACATGAGCCCCGCAGATCATCATTTCAGCATGAGGTCGAGTCTTCTGTGCCTTCTTATCGCTCTCGTCTGCTTGTTAGCTGTCAGTTCGGCTACAGCCAAGGTGATTCCCAAGCATCACCACCAAGGAGGTGTTCAGAAACGTGGCGAGGCTGGTGATGGTGAACATGAAGGTGCTGACAAAGAGGAACACAAGGCTGACCACGGCGATGAAGAAGAAGAAGAAGATGATGATGAGGAGGAGGAGGAAGACCAAGAAGATGAAGAGGATGAGGAACACAAAGAGCACATTGAGAAAAAGCAGGGAGGAGATGACGACGAGGACGATGCTGAAGAAGATGATGACGATGAGGATGATGAGCAGAAGAAACGTCTGAAGAAAAAGCAAACCATGGACGATGATGATGAAGACGTCGAGGAAGACGAAGAGGATGAAGAGGAAGAAGAGGAGGAAGAACACAAAAAACGCATTAAGAAAAAACAACAGGATGATGATGAGGAGGAGGAGGAGGAAGAGGAGGAGGAAGACGATGAGGAGGAAGAGGAGGAGGAGAAGGAACACAAAAAACGCATTAAGAAGAAGCAACATGAGGATGACGACGAAGACGATGATGAAGAAGACGACGACGATGAGGATGATGAGCAGGAGAGGCGTCTGAAGAAAAGGCAAACCAAGGACGACGATGATGAAGAAGACGAGGAAGACGATGACGATGAGGAGGATAAGTACGAAGGTGAACATAAAAAAAGCCTGAAGCAGAAGTGGAACGATTTCTGGTCAGACGTGAAAAAGTGGTTCCGCAAAGTCAAGAAAGATATATAATTGGAATGGAGGAAATCAAACCAACAAGTTTTACCATCGATCACGTCCAAGCATCCAGTGAATCTTTCAAACACCTACCATTCAAAGCCCCGTGTCTTTAATAATTATGAATAAATAACTTAGTGCGTAGTTTAACTCTAGTCTTTTTTTACCTTTGACGGCAAATCTAAGCGGTCGCAATAAACTGGGAGTCTGTGCAGCTTTAATAATGCCTGTAGATGCACGAAAATATGACTGAGATTCCGCTCGAGTGAATTAACTGGCCACCAGTGATATCTTGAGCATTGAGTAGGTACTTGGCAGATCGTCGTGACTGTTAGAGCCTGCACATTTTGGGGTACTGACGGCTATCTGAACCTATCGTGAGTCAACATGGGATATGTGTTCACTTAGCTATATCTGTGTGCAGGAAGAACATCCAAAGTGGAAAACAGGGAGTGGCATTTTTGTGGGTGCTTAAAAACGAAGTGAGAATTGGAACGTCAAAAAATAACAACCGAGGCGTTAGTTTGCATCAGTTTACTGTGGCTTAATATGGTCTAAACGATTTCGAAATGACCACTGTAATCCAAACGACAAGCGTCGCTCTGTACGAAACTGCGTCACCAATTGCCGCTTGATCCGTGATGTTGTGAATAAACATAATATTCTTCGGATCGCCACTGTAGAGATTGCTTAGAGACCAATTTTAGACTGATAACCTGAAAGTCCAAACAAATTGAATGCATTTGGAGTCTCAATGTGTGTGTTCTACATGCCTTGACTGGACGGAACAAAATGGAGAGTTTCCCCAGACAATACTCTTCCACCTTCCATGCTAACCGAGGTGCTTTCGGGTCGAGTCATTAGCAAGAATAATATTTGTTTGCATTTGCTAACATAACAAGAAGGATCACAGAGCATAGCAATGTAGGAGCAAAATGAACGAGCTTTACCAACATGCACCCTCATGCACTTGCAACCAATGCGACTTTAGGAAGTTATGTGGGCGACGATGTGTGTAAAAATAACTAAAGTGGTGCTGGAATTCCTTGAAATGAATTTCATAGATTTTGACATCAGGAAAGGCTTGCAACCGTCGACTGTGTGTTAAACACACTTCAATACATCAACCAACAGTTGACGCATGAGATCAACGAACTTAGAGCAGGATATAGCCATCTAATGACCTCATTTATTTAAACAGTGACAATTGAAAAAGTTTGCATTCAGTAAGGAGATCAACTATCGTCATGGATTATTTTGTTGAAGCATTCACCACGTTCATGTTTCTGCAGCATGAATCGATGGTCATTGTAGGCAAGTCAGGTGGGCCCGCATTTGCCTCGCTGACGAAAAGTCCCTTGGTGAATTGATCAAAATCAATTTACCAAAACCTGATAGACCACCGACCATACTTAGTTCACTTTCTCGTTTTCCTCTGCTCCCGGCGAGAGCTTCCATGTTACAGCACCGTGCGTTTGGAGCAGATGTAGTTGCCTGTCAGCGAAGACATGTCAGACTGATCCTGTCCGAGGTGGATTGCGTCAGGTGTCTGTGGTTCACCCAACACTCGTACCGGTTCCTCTTCACATGTACCCCATGACCACGCCCTCGCACAGCGACGCAATGACAGACGCCTTGCCTAGCGTGTGAATCTGCGGTTGTGTCCGTCTGCACAACCACCTCAAGACCTCTCGGGCTTGAACGCCCAAGACATCTGGGAAGAAATTCACCATTAGCGGACTGCATGAAATGTTAGAAATTAATAATTTTGCGAAGGCTAGAGCTAAGACGACAGTAGCCATGTTTACATGGCGCTAAGAGTGTGCAGTGAATCGTGTTGATTCGCGTCCAAGCTGTCTGGTCTTATTCCTTCCTCCTCGGGTACAGAATGGGTACAGAGATAACCTGCAATGGAATATTTTCGTCAGGCATTTCGCATCACTTGGCTCACTGTCTCGCCTTAGAAATAGCTGTTTCAATTCCTTAGGCTCTTATATCCATCGTACTAACATTTTGCTAGTACATGAGATGCCGATTAGACAGGAATTGGCCTTAAACCATTGCACATATCCACGGGTTTAGGATTTGCCCACTACAATGGAAGCGTACTGTTTTGGGATCTATTATGTAGCACCAATGTGCTCCCATTTCTGACAGACTTTGAATGGATGACCATCATCTTATTCAGGTATTTTAGCTAAAATCAAGCACAAACTTGGCCGGTGTTTCCTTGCATGCTGTAGGCAACAGGATGCCGGAACAGTAAGCAGTGATTATGGATAATGTCAATAAATATTGCCAAAACGGAAGGTTGGGTGGGGTGGGGATACGGGAGATTGTAGAATGAGTTCGTCGTTGCTTGAGCATGTGGAAGGAACATTGGTGTCTTCCGTGAAAGCAGCTTTGAGACGGTCTACGCTCACTGTATCCAGCGAACCACTTTCGTCAATTACAAGAAAATTTGTCGGCCCGTTCTACCACCTTAAAGGGGCCGTCATATGGTGGTTGCAAGGTTTTTTTAACGCCATCAACGCGGACAAATACATAAGGAGAAGTAAGCAAACTTGGCTGGATTCGTGCTTCTCGTGAGGACATTCTCGTCGGGGTCACCAAATGTGTAGTAGCCGGATTTCATCACCTCGCGGTCACTAAATGTAGTGGCGAGAGATTTAGCACTACCTTACAACCCTCTAGTTAACCGACCGTAACTACCCGAAGAAAGGGGGAAAGCGGAGACGGCGGACACGACCCTTTATTGGTATCGAAACAGCCAAGCGGCGATGTGTGCGTATGAGTACGCGTGCGCAGCAGGCGAATGCTGACAGAGGCCAATAACAAAAGGGGGTGAGTCATTGGAACACACGGGTCCTCATGCACGTACACTCATGCGAGGTGACTGTCAGTCCACTACAACCTGCTCGGCATGTTTAGATTTAAACGGGGGGCTCGACTTATTTGTACAGCGTCACGTCTCACTCTCTCATCAGCCTATAAGTGGAAGTTAAAAAGGGAGCTAGAAGAATGGAGTTTAAAGGGGAAATTTAGGCGAACGACTGAGCTGTCTCGTCCAAAGGAATTCCTTCCAAGTGTCTGGTGGGGATAGTGCGGATGTTTAAACAATGCATGTGGAGAAGTGATCTGGATAGCCGCTCACCCAAGTCGATGTTGAACTCCGAGTTAAACGTCGAATTTGGACCTTCAAGAAGGCATTATCACATTAGCCATGACAGAACTACACGAAACGCTACTCAATGGGAAACAGCGGTTTAAATTGAGACTTCTTCCGCCTGCACCTGCCGTATCCCCTTGACATCTCCCCTACTACATTTTCATCTGCTCCATTTTATCAAAAAATTACAATGACAAGCATTTGTTTAAGTGGAAGAAGTTAGAAACTTGAAGAGACATAACACAGTTTCCACATAGAAGGAAATCAAGAACTTGTAAATTATTGGAACAGGGTTATACGAAAGGATTGAGATGGCTATAAATATAGTTAAATGGAACTCAAAATGATTATGCATAGTACTTAATTTTGTCCCAAAACAAAGACCTATAGTGGCATTCTAGCACTACTTTTAGCCTTACTAATTGGCGGCCCGTAACAACCGAGAGCAGAGACAAAACGGCCCCAACGGACACGACCGTCTACTAGCGCTACGTCAGCCAAGTGTCTTCGTGCGCACCTGGCGACTACTGATAGTGACCAATGAAAAAGGGGCTTGAGTCATTGAAAACCATAATTCAATAAGCAAGATTAACTCATTCGCGATAGCCGGTAGTCCACTACGAGTAGTTACTTCGTGAGAGCTGACTGCGAAACGGTACACGAACGACTTACCCAAGCCAACCACGGATTAGTGGAAAGGAGAAGCATAGAGTTGTAGTCGTTGAGGCTGCCCAGACAAAACCTGTAATCGTCTGGAAGGAAGCTCATCAATTCCCAATGATAAACTGGACATTTGCTCTTGCAACATATCAGTGACAAAACTATTCGTGCTATCTGGTATGATAGAGGAGATGGCTTGTTTTCCCATCTCTTAATAAATGCACCCGTCGATTCTCTCTGCCATTTTCACGCCATTCTCCATCGGCGAGTCAGGGTTGTGAAACGAAATGATTGTGCTCGAGTTACCAGGAAGCATTTAACCTGAAACTGAAGTAGAACTGAGTTGACGAATCTGTTAATCATTACATACTACTGATCTAACGCTAATAACCATCAACAAGGGTAGTTCAGTGCCTGAGAAGGCGTTATGTTAATAGTTCGAGCTCAGTATCACGGCGAAACATCATTTAGCGACTAGATGTGGTCGTTCAGGTATTTACGCAAACTATTACGCAAGATGGGGCTCTGGTTGCAAGCAGGAGTTTGCATTTACAAGGCTGCGTTTATCAAAGTGGCACAGTTTGAATGACAAGGGCTTTCTCAGGCAGATGCAGATGGTGTTTGTGGGGGCTTCAGTCACTGTTCTCGCATTTCCTCATGTTCGCCAGCACCTTTAGAGAACCTTTAAGGCAAATTCTTCAAGTCAGAGGCTCACCACAACCAACATACGCCACTGATCGCCTTACTATCCTTTGCAATTTTGTACAGCTGTCCTAGCGTGGGTCTAACGTTGTAATTTTTGTAATCTTGAGATTTTGAATTAAGTACTGTATCCGGTGGGATATTATTCCAGCGCTTGGTTTTTTCTAACAAATTCATACTCTCCCTACTACTACTACTACTACTACTACTACTACTACTACTAATACTACTACTACTATTATCATTTCCGAATCGCAAATTTCATCATCTGTTCACTTCAGCGTCAAACTAATGCCGTTATCATTGAGTTGGTCTAAACGTGCAAAGAGAGCACAAGAGGGGTTCTCTATCTCAGCGGTGGCAAGCAGATGCCCGCTTAGGTAGTTAATTTGCAATGTTCATGCAAGGGCAGCACTCGTTTCTTTGAACGCTAATTCACCGTTGCTTTGGAAGCTTGAAGTGAATCGACACTCGACGCTTGCCT